AGGAGGAGGCTACAATGCTTGATAAGAAATGTACTCATTATCTTGCCCATGTAATTGTAACCCCTCTGTACAGTATTTTCACAATAAAAAAAATCACAGACTTACCTAGCTTCAAACCACAATCCTCAGATCTCAGCCTCCTGAGTAGCTAGGTCTACAGACATGAGCCACTAATGCTTGACCATAAGGATGCTTTTTAAAGTATCCAAAATGAACAAGAAAGGAAAAATAACATTATGTATTTAAGATGGTTTTGGTTAAGGTTCTCCCCAAATTGTGTTAGTATTTCTTCTTTCAGTTCATAGTACCAAAACAGCAAAAACTTGTGGGGGAAAAATAAAAACCCAACTCTCTCACATTCTGTGCACATATTCCTGGATTGCAGCTTGCTGGAAAACCTTGCTGACATATGGGGACACATTCTGAGAAGAGACATCAGTGCTGTGTGAATATCAGTGTATTTATACAAATCTAGATGGTATTATGGCCCACTGCTCAGGGTATTATGTTTGTGCATTCCACTGCCGATGAAACAGCATTACATAAAAGTAAGGGATTACATGTTTTAGCTATCCTCCAGACACACATTTGTTCATTTATTTACACCAGAAGCAATTAACACAATGCTGAAAATAAACATGCATCAATTAAATAATGCATACTTACAAAAAAAACTCTGTCCATTACAATTGATGAATGCAAACAGTCTTTCCATCCACCCTTAGTGCATCACAAGAAAAACAGGGAAGGAAAATAGTGAATTTAATGTTATTCAGCACCTTTAGTAAAGTCAAAATTTAATATCTCCATATATCAAAAACATTTTCATCTGTATCACCAAACATGTAAAGTTAGTTTTTTCCATTTTAACATGAAGTATTTACATTACTCTTCAGATGAATAACTTTTAACAACAGTTAAAAATTATCTAAATTCACAAAAGTATTGCATAAATTTAAACATTTAATTACTATGTACATACAAGGAAGTTTATGAAAAAGCTAAAGAAATGGAGTCAAAAGGTTCAGGCAACATTACCTTCACAAAATTCCAAACAAATCAAGGCAGAGGGAATTCAAAAATTTTTATATGCTGCTAATGTGAACATAAAAATTCCAGTAATAAAAGTCAATATGAGAAATGATGTTTAAACCAACAGAAGAAAATATATTTTAATAGGCATGATACATGTGTAATAGCAATAGTAATGGTTTCATAGAAAACAGCCACAACATTGTCATGTATGAGCTACCTGGTTTGATCACAGGATAAAGGGATGTTTCAGGAGTAAAGAAGTTGATTTCAAAAATATATTTTAGCAGCCATATTTTATTTCCAGTTAAAACACAGTAAAATGTTAAAAGAAAAATTTATAGTTAGCTAAATAATACCCCAAAACTAGAAAATTAAAAATCCCATGCTATTCTAGCAACAACAGCCTCTAGTAGATGTAGTCTGATGTAAGAGTCGTGAGAGCCAATAAGAATCAGATGTCCATATGGGCTTAAAGTTCACTGAAATACATAGGTAGCAAAATTTATGAAAAAGTAATAGAAAAGTAAAAAGATAAAATTAAAAAAATATTGCACAGCCACATTACCTAGAAAATAAAGTTGATGTTTAAAAAGCTCTATGCACGGATGATATAAATTATCTTCCATATAAAAATGTATAAATATTTCTTAGAACTTATTAACATCTACATTTAACTATAATACATCATTTAAATCACTGTTGGATGAGGTAATTGTCAAGTCTCTAATAATGCTTTTATCCTACTGGAAATATTTGAGGGCAGCGACCAGAAAGAATTTCTCTAAAAAAATTTCTGAATCAAGAACAGCTATATGAGCAGCTCTCCCAATGAGTGAATCTGCTGTATTGGGCAATGCATTGATGACGTTGTATCGAACCAAATTACAGTCTTTGCTTTGTAGAACTGGGCGAAGCAAGTTGTGGATCATTTCTGAATAGATCTGTCCTAGAGAGAAAAAAGAAAACAGAAAAAATATTACTATGAGTAATTGGAAAAAAGTATCAACTCTTAAGTAGTTCACAAAATTCAGTTACATTATTTCTACATAAAGCAGAAAGATACCTTTCAAATTTTAGGTTTTATTTTTCTTTAAGCTATCATTTTTTATTATTTTGTAGAAAATATAATTACAATTTCCAGCCAGGTAAAAATAACAAATTTATTATATATCATTTGCCAATTTGATTCTTTTTAACTCAAATCAATGCATGTAATAAAGAAAATAATTTCCTAATAGTTAAATCATTTGTAATTTATGAAATTATTATGAAAGTTAGCCATAGTAAAGTGACAAGTCATATTAAAATGATAATGTGAAATCAACTCTATAGGCTACAACAAATATTTTCACATTTGACAGTTAATATTCTAAATCATGTTGAGAAAGAACAGCAAATTCATACAGTCAGAAGAACAACATAAACGGCTCAAAGATCAACAGAATTCCTTTGATTTGAAGGTGTACTTATTCCTTTTTTTTTGGTCGGTCCTGGGGTTTGAACTGTGGGCTTAGGCACTGTCACTGTGCTCTTCAGCTCAAGGCGAGTACTCTACCGCTTGAGCCACAGTGCCACTTCCAGTTTTATAGTGGTTTATTGGAGATAAGAGTCTCACAGACTTTCCTGCCCGGGCTGGCTTTGAACCATGATCCTCAGATCTCAGCCTCCTGAGTAGCTAGGATCACAGGCGTGAGCCACCAGCACCCTGCTCTTATTCTTTTTTTGCTTTTAATTCAAAATTGTACTCTACCAGTTTATGGCTGTAATCCTAGAGACTCAGGAGGCTGAGATGTGAGTTTGAAGACAGCCCAGCAGAAACATCCATGATATGTTATCTTCAAAAGGCCAGAAGTAGAAGTCTGTGCTCAAGTAGTAAAGCTCTGGCCTTGAGCAAAAATCAAAACACAAAAATACAAAAAAGAATAGCCAAGTTAGAGCATGGGCCCTGAATTCATGCCTTAATGATACAAAAACAGACAAATAAAAAAACAAACAAAAAAAAAAGGTTGTACTTCTCTCTTCCTTTTTGGTAAAATCTTAAAATCGGTTTTCTGAGGTCATGTGAAGTACAAGAAATAAAGATTAAATCTGTATTTGTACACATCATGTAAAGCTGACTAGGAGGCAAACTATTGCTTATAGATCTTTTTGGGGGGAGGTGGGAGGAGTAGTGAGTGGTGTCAGTACTGGGGCTTGAACTTGGTGACTCTTGCTCTCATTTGACTTTTTTGTTCAAGTCTGGCACTCTATCACTTAGATTTTTGCTGATTGACTGGAGATAAAGAGTTTCATGACCTTTCTTCCCAGGCTACCTTTGACCCTCGATCTTCAGATCTCAGCCTCCTAAGAAGTTGCTAGGATTATAGGCACCCAGCAAAACTACAGATGACTTAACAGATGACAACCAATAATTGCATGAAGATCACTTTCAGAGAGGTAGATTTCTTTTTGTTGTTGGTGGTGGTGGTTGGTCATGGGACTTGAACTCAGTGCCTGGTATCTATCTCTGAGCTTTTTCATTAAAGGTTAGCATTCTACCACTTTAAGCCACAGCACCACTTCCAGTTTTCTGGTGGTTAATTGGAGATAAGAGTATCATAGACTTTCCTACTCCAGCTGGCTTCAAACTATGATCCTCAGATCTCTGCCTCCTGAGGATTATAGGAATGATCAGAGGGAAAAAAAAGTATAATCACAGAAAGAGCAGAGAGATGTTTTAGAGAAAAATTAATATAACCTATATCATGCTAACTTTAAACATGTTTGTACAGGAAGAAGTTCATACTTTCTTCAGTAGATGCTCTTGTGTCCACTAATAGCATAGAACCTCAGTTAGAGGGTGTTCATCAGCCAGGTGCCAGTAGCTTAGGCCTGTAATCTACCTACTCAGGAGGTTGAGATCTGAGGTTCAGAGTTCAAAGCCATCCCAGGCAGAAAAATTCATTAGATTCTTATCTCCAATTAACCACCAATTAACTAGAAGTGGAGCTGCAGCTCAAGTGGAAGACCACTCGCCTTGAGCAAAAAGCTCAGGGACCAGACCCATCAGTCCAAGCCCCAGGACTAGCACAAAATATAAATAAGTAAATGACATTTATCAAAACCCACATGATTGTTTAAATTGTGAGACTGTTACATTTACAAACAAAATCTATTTTGAATTTTTCACTTCATTAGAACAGAACTTAAAAGGTTATTCTGATACCACTACTGTACAATAAGTATTTGTTAAATAAATGAGTACCTATTATGTGCCAGGTATCACACCAGGCATTGCCAATATAAATGGTAAAAGACTCCCTAACTTAGGCTGTGGGGGAGGAGGGATTTGATTGAAACATGTTGTATGCACGTATGAAAAATTCATAAGGAAATCTATGTAAAAATCTTGTAAAAAAGTTTTAAAAGGGGGATTTGTCATAGGGGAGAGGGGCATAAACAGAGAGAATACAATCAATGTAAATTTCATGTGTGTATAAAAGTAATCACAATGAACCCCTTCAGTCTATCTAAATATCAACTATAAGCTGGGCACCAGTGGCTCATGCCTGTCTGTAATCCTAGCTACTCAGGAGGCTGATATCAGAGAACCATGGTTCGAAACCAGCCTGGCTACAGAAGTCCATGAGATTCTTACTCCAATAAACTACTCAGAAAAGACCAGAAGTAGTACTGTGACTAAAGGGGTAGAGTGCTAGCCTTGAACAAAAGGAGCCCAGGGACAGAGTCCAGGCCAAGTTCAAGCCTCAGGACTCGCAAAAAAAAAAAAAAAATCAACAATAAAAACATAAAATACATAAAACAGTAATTAAACAAAATGAGTCCATGTCTTAAGGAACTGTGTACTGTCACACAATTTTGAAAAAGCAAAAGATCCAGAGTTAAAATCAGCCTTATTCCAGAAAAGGATGTGGGAGATGTGAGATCAGCTTCTTGCACTGTGTGCATAACTAACAATGATTCTGGATGAACACCACGTAACTCTAGGATTACTTTTATAATGGACAAATAGAACTCATGTCACCTTCTAGATCCAAAGAGCTGTGTTTTAAATACTTTCTGTTATGAACCAAACATGGCTTTAAATGGCCTCTAAATGACACCCAGCAGAACATAAAGCATGGCTGAATAGGAAAGCAAAGCAGATTGCTTTTGAGACAGAAAAATGGTGAATCACCTGTCACTAGAGGAAAGCACTATTTCAGGATAAAACACTTAGATGGCAGGAAAGAAAAAATTGAAGAGAAGCTGAGGACAAAAAGCTGTTAATTATAATAGATAGAAAGGGAAGTTAAAGGAGAGAGTAAGAAGAAAGTAATTATAAAATTTAGGAAAAAACTAATTCATAGATTACAACTCTTTGAAATAATTTTTATTCATTCCATTACCTGACTGCTTGTCCTTTAAAGCTGTTTTACACATTTCAATGCGGGCAGAATGATAAGGAACGTAGCGATCCTGTAGGGATCCAACCAGCACAACATTTTTGAAATAATGAAGTCCTAAGAAAATGAATAATGCAATGATTAGCTAGATTTAAACCTATTATCATATACAGTAACCAAAAATTAAATTGATTTCCTAGGGATTATGAAATTTTTGTTGTTGCTGGTGATGGGGCTTGAACTCAGGACCTGGACACTGTCCCTGAAGATTTTTGTGCTCAAAGCTAGTGCTTGACCACTTGACCCACAGCTCTACTTACGGTTTTCAGTGGTTACTGGAGATAAGAGTCTCACAGACTTTCCTGCTTAGGCTGTCTTTGAACTGTGATCCTTAGACCTCAGCTTCCTGAATAGCTAGGATTGCAGGTATGAGTCACCAGCACCCACCTATTATGAAACTTCTGACTCTTAATATATTACAAATTTCTTCTTCAAATTACTATATATTTTCTACAAAAAGCCAGCAGGGACTGAGATGTAGTGGGAAGCTAAATAGGTCTACATAACTTGAAAATAGGCACAGGTGGGGGACAATGAAGTAAAATGAAGGAAGGAGTGACAATGACCAAGAAGCACTGTACCCACATCCTGACTTATAGAATTATAACTCCTTTGTACAAGAACTATAATAATAATAAATTAAACATGGTGGATTATGCTTCACTGGCAATTCTATATGATGTCAACCTTACCCTTTTTAATATTTAAAGACACTTTCAGAATACCCTTTTTGGTACTTAAGGACACTTTCAAAGAAACAAAAGTACACTTTTCCATAAAAACAAAACATTTAATGCATAGTCATTTTAAAGCTGTTAGTTTCAGTTTTCAGTGATGACTGACTAGTACTATTTATATTTTCTGCAAATTTGAGAATGATGTCAGGAGAACACAAGCTTTTCCGGTGATAATAAGTGATTTTTGTTATCAGCCACAAATTTTTTTAGGTCTTTAAAAAGCAAAAAACAAAAAAAAAAGCCCAACTAGGTAAATTTAAAGCTTAGGACTTTGAGTTACTTTACTAACTCATTTAAATAATGAAATCATGGTATTGATTTCTTTTTTTCTTTTTTTTTGGTGTGGGGCTTGAACTGTGGGCCTGGACACTGTCCTTGAACTCTTTAGTTCAAGGTTAGTGCTCTACAACTTGAGCCACAGTGCCACTTGCAGTTTTCTGGTGGGTAACTGGAGATAAGAATTTCACAGACTTTCCTGCCTGGGATGGCTTTGAACCGTGATCCTCAGATCTCAGACTCCTGAGTAGCTAGGATTACAGGCGAGAGATACTGGCACCTGGCATGTTATTGATTTCTTTAGCATCAGTCATATTCTAATAAACTATTTGGCTTGACTAGTAAGTAAAATTTTATGTGCTTTCTAAAGAAGATACAACTTAAGAATGGTATTACAACATTAGAATTGAAATGTATAGACATCGTACTTTATTCCGCAATGTTTCCATGTAAAATTTTGGAACTTCAGAGTACCTTTTGAGTTTTAGATACTTAGAGGTAGGCCAATTGTGAGGACTACTGTGGAGTTCAAATATGGAAAAACTTTATAAGCACTCCCTGGAACTCAAGGACCAGAATCTGGAGAAGACAGGATCTACATAAAGTCAGGTTAGGGTATACAACAGATACACCATGTCAAAAATAAAGCCATTCTTTCTTTTCTTTTTTCTTTTTTTGCCAGTCCTGGGGCTTGAAAGGGCCTGTGCTCCTTTTGTTCAAGGCTAGCACTCTACCACTTGCACAGCACCACTTCTGGCCTTTTCTGTTTATGTGGTACTGAGGAATCGAATTCATGCATGCTGGGCAAGCACTCTACCACTAAGCCACATTCCCAGCCCCCCATTCTTACAAACACGTTCTAACTTTCCTGGAGCAAATTATCTATCACAGTCTATAACATTTATGAATTGTATGAGCTTTGCAATACAGTTATTTCTTCCACATTGGGGTGATATATACATTTCTTTTGTTTTGCATAGCATCAGCTGTTCCCTCTTTCCCACTTGTTCCCTCCCTCCCATCACTGCCATTAAGTTGCTTAGTTCATTTTGGTCAATGATGACAAGATAATCATGTTTTTGGATGATGATTTGGAAAAACACCATTCTATAAAGATAAGTGAATTAATCAAATGTTTATAATGGAATTAATTATGCACATTACTTTTATCATAGAAATTCTAATAAAAATGGGTTTTCCCCATTCATGGTTAACACTTCATGAAACAAACTCACTCTATTTCTGGCAACATTTAGATACCTATAACCTTATAATCCTCAGTGCATCTTTGGGATTGTCTCCATGTCTTAGGGCTTGGGTTTTTCAAAGGGTGCACAATTAACCTGTGAGTACTTAAGTCTCTCCATGGTGTGGATGGGCAAGCATGGCTTTAAGAAAATAGATTTTCAGATCCAAAGCTACCAATGAGTTACTTCATAAAACTGCCTTATTTTGTCCTCACTTTTAAGATATACAGAATGTCTAGGTTATCTCTGACCAAATTAAGTTTGGCTATTTGACCGTGGTTTTGATTGTTTGAACTAGATTTTGTGACACTTATTTTGCATGAGCTAAAGATATAACTCTAATAAAATGAGCCACAGCCTCATATTTTCTGAAAATATAGTTATAGCTTCTATGGATAAATTATACCAAGGAGTATTTTTTGAAAGACTTTTTTTTGGGGGGATCAGGCATTATTGAGGCTTAAAGTTAGGGTATCGTGTTCTTGCTCTTGACTTCCTAAGTTCAAGTCTTTTACTGATTATGACACAGCTAACAGCTGTGTATAATATTCCAAACTCCTTTTTGGTTTCAAACAAGATTTTTATTTTATTTATTGACTGATAATATTTCATGGCAGTTTTGTAGATCAACATTCAGGGCCCCTTGCATGCTAGGCAAGTACTCTACTATGGGGTTACACAGTTAGCAAAGTTTACTTTAAAATTATACAGACTTGGGGGGGAGGGGAAACTATGTGGGGGGAGATAGGAAGGGATGGGAAGGGGAAACAAAGGAGGAGGCAAAAAAATAAAATAAAATAAAATTATACAGTGTAAGTAGGAACATAATATTACACTATTTTTTGCTTTGCTTTTTCACTCAATATTATAGGGGAATCTTTTATGTTTTCACAATATACTACCTGTTTTCAACCACTATATGGTATTTCCATGTTTACATTTTAATATTTCTCTTACAACCTACCACTGGGCATATAGGCCTGTTCTATTTCAGAGGGGAGGGAAAATATAACAGTCAAAAGACAGAACATTAAAACCCCCTGTGATGAACAGTCTTTACCTACTTCTGTGCATCAATTCAGTACTGCCAAAAAAAGGGGGGGAAATTTCTTTTGACCAGTTATATTCTGTAATCTTCTATCAGATATATACTGGGTTTACAAATAAAAAGACAATATCACTATTGTAAATACATGAGTTTTATTTAAAAAAAAGTCTTTCAACTCTTAGAAATCATACAATTTTAGACTTTAAAGATGCTTTCTTCATTTAAAACTAATGAATAGAGATGGCTCACTCCTATCATCCAAGCTATTCAGGAGGCATAGATTTGAGGGTCAAGGTTTGAAGTTAGCCTGGGCAGGAAAATCTGTGAGACTAATCTCCAATTAACCCACAAAAAGGAAAAAGAGGAACTGTGTCTCAAAGAGGTAGAGCACTAGAGCCTTGAATGAAAAAGCCAAGTGAGAATGTGAGGCCCTGAGTTCAAGTCCCAGGGCTAACACACAAAAAAATAATGAATAGCTTTCAATTAAGGATTGCTATGAACTAATGATACATTGCAGAGTAATATACTGCATCAAGTGGAAGACTAACAGGGAATTTTTCTTAAATAAAAAAGAAGACAGAGTAAAATACTGAAATTTGAGTCAAGTAAACTTAAGTTTCCCCAAGAGAATGAGAACTTGGCTGTTCAGGTGAAACTGAAGCAGTTACCAGACTACTACATGCAGGACTTTGCAAGGTCCTTAATCAACTTTCTGATTAAAATATGAAAAAGAATTTATCACTTCTGATCATTTTAAAATATATGAGAACACATTAGTTAATTACATTTGGGGGGGGGAGGGTCCAGTCGTGGGGCTTGTACTCTGGGCCTGGGCGCTGTCCCTCAGCTCTTCAGCTCAAGGCTAGTGCTCTACCACTTGAGCCACAGCACCACTTCTGGCTTTTTCCTTTTTGCTTATGTGGTGCTGAGGAATCGAACCCAGGGCCTCAGGCATGCAAGGCAAGCACTCTACCACTGAGCCAACTTCCCAGCCCCAAGTACATTTTTTTTTTGTCACTTGAACTCTGGGCCTGGGCGCTGTCCCTCAGGTCTTCAGCTCAAAGCTAGTGCTCTACCACTTGAGCCACAGTGCCACTTCCAGCTGTTTCTGCTTGTGTGATGGTGAGGAATTGAACCCAGGGCCTCATACATGCAAGGTAAGCACTCTACCACTAAGCCCCATGTTAAATACTTTTTTTGAGAGGATCCCTCTATGTCCTTAGGCTGTCCTTGAAATCCCAGATTCATGCTACCCTCTTGCCTCAGCTCTCAAGTATCATTTCTATTTACAAATAAGAAAGCTGAAGCTTATTTAAATTAAACAATTTAAACAAGTTTGAAATGTAATTAATACCCATTTCATCCAAAATGGTAATTTTAGGCTCTTACATCCTGAACCTGTTGTAGTAATCAGTTGTATAATAGCTGTTAAGGTATGTTTGAACAGGTAGTGTAAGGTAAATAAATTTTAAGTTTTAAGCCCTTATGAAAGAATTCCAAGTTTGAAAAATCTACTCACACCTATTATTAATAATAAACATAGTAAGAAAGTAAATATCTGTTCAGCTGAGAAAGTCACAAGCTACAATGTCTATACAGTAAAATTTTATAGTCTCTTCTGACTGAGAATTAAATTTCACTTTGTATAATATAGAATAAATACAAAGACCTGAGGGAATATTTATGTTCAGTCTGGTTTTTCATACAACTCTGAACCTGTCAGGAAAATGGTATGAACACCAAACTTAACAAATAATGTTTCTCTTATCTGTAATCTTTTACAACATGAGACATTTATTTGTGAACTGTAATCCCTTTGTTCAACTACCTAATAAAAAATGAATAAGGGCATGGTGCCCTTGGCGCATGTCTGTAATCCTAGCTACTCAGGAGGCTGAAATCTGAGTATCATGGTTCAAAGCTAGTAGAGGCAGATAAGTCCCCATGAGACTCTTACCTCCAATTAACCACTGAAAAACTGGAAGTGGCTCTGTGGCTGAAGATGTAGAGTGCTAGCCTTGAGCACAAAGTGCCTAGGCCCTGAGTCAAGCCCCACAATCACTACCACCACCACCAACTTCAACAACAACAACAAAAATAACAACAAAAGAAGATAGAACTGAAGATGCAGTAAAGAGGAAGAGAAATATTCATACACTACTACCAAGAAAGCTGAAAATCTAGGCCTTGATCACTCAGTAGATATGTAGAGATGGTTAGGGGAGGTGTCTAAAACAACTTCTAAGGTGAAATAATTTAAGAAATTTACAGAAGTGCTTGAGAGCCCTGAAAAGGGAAGACAGAAAAATGTGTGGGAGTTGACTCACTAAGAAGGGCTGGAGATAAGGGTGGGGAACAGCTAGACAGACAGGAGGCTCAGACATGCAGAAAACTCATGAAACCAGACATTAATAAAACAGGCACTGGGCTGGGAAGGTGGCTCAGTAGTTGAGTGCTTGCCTTGCATGCATGAAGCCCTGGGTTCGATTCCTTTGCACCACACAAGCAGAAAAAGCTGGAAGTGGCACTGTGGCTCAAGTGGTAGAGCACTAGCCTTGAGCTGAAGAGCTGAGGGACAGCGCCCAAACCTAGAGTTCAGGCCCCACAACCAGCAAAAATAAAAACTAAAAATAAAACTGACTCTGACTTCAAATATGAAAATTAGAAATCACAACTTGTACAATACAAAACCACAGAGTAAAGGGGAAATATATTTTAGAGTCTGTGATTTCATTACTACAAAGTAGAGTAGAATACTTAACCATCAGAAAGAAACGCCAATAATTGGCTAAAGGCTTATTTTTAAAAAGTTTTCATGTGCATATTTTCCAAACTATTATTAAGTACTTACCTGCTTTATTACTGAGCTTATATAAAAAAGTTTGGCGAGGGTCAGAGTGATCTCGACATGTCAGTTGCAAAAGAGAACCTGATTTTTTCCATTTTTGCATAAACCAGAGACCTAGAAGGTTGTTTATATGTTAGTACAAATGGAAATATATAGCATTGTATAACACTTATTAAATTTAATATCTTTACCTTCACAAACTGACATCACTCAAATGAATAAAAAATGTTGTAGAGTAATTCCACTTTCTGATACCAAATATTAACATAAGTGCACGTGTACAGGTTATCTCTGACAAGTGTAAATACATATGTACATATATAGATTAACTATAGGTTAATAGTAGTTGATGAAGGCCTTACTATTTATATCCCACAAGCAATGACAGAAATAATAAGCATATAAAGGAAAATTTGGGAAAACTGGAACTTTAGATGATATTTAACTATAAAGCAGAAGGAAAAAAAAAAACTTGAAACACAACAGTAGATCCACATGCCTAAGCACTGATTTTCAGTCTATAGTTAGTTTCAGTTGACTTACAGGATCAGCTCTTGGAATGTTTCCTAATAACAGCTGATATATTCAATTTCATGTGTAATTGTATTTCTTTATATTATGAAGGATTCATATTCCACTGAATCTTCACTTCAATAGAAATCAAACTTCAGTCATTCAAGACTAGAATACTCTTTGATGAACTTTTTTTCTGGAGTACCATGGAGGGACAGGGAAGTACACACAGGGAAAATGCTGTTTAACTGATCAAATCTGACATTTGTAAGAAGTGTGAGGAAAGGTTAGCACAGAAAGAAATTCAAAGCACCACATCCTACTTATGTCAGGTTCTACTTCATGTGATTTAATGTTTTATTTTCTTTGTGTTCTCTCTCTCTGTGGACTGGGGTTTGACTTCAAATGCTACTGAGCCAAGTCTCTGACACAGTATTTTTAATTTTGAGGACAGGGCCTTGCTTCCTACCTAGCTGCAAGCCAGAGCCATGATCCACCTCTAGTCACTGAGATCTCAGGAACATGCTGCCATGTCTACCCTGCCCTCATACAGATGGATTCTCATAGGCTTTTCCGTCCTGTTTGGCTTGGAACTAAAATTCTTCCAGTCTCCTTCCCCATATGGTCTGAGATGACAGGTATATACCACTGTGATATGGATTAAAAAGGGGGATCTCACAGACTTGTCTGCCTGGTAAGACATTGAATTTTAATCCTCCTATCCTCAGCTCCCCAAGTAGCTGAGATTACAGGCATGAGCCACCAATGCCCACTTGCTTTTTTTTTTTTTTTTTAGGTCTTGCTAAGTAGCAAAAGATGGCCTTATACTTGAGATCTTCCCCCTTCTATCTTCTGTGCTGAGATAACAGACCTGCAGCACACCTGCTTCCATTTTTCTCTGGCTGTGCTTTGAAATGATCAATATAAGACAGAAAAAAAAGGAAGTGGGTGTGGCTTGTTAATGAAAGACAATAAAAAAGAAAACAGAAACAAAACTTTCAGGAATTCATGAAAAGTGGAAATAATATCTGATGTATTCTCAGTGATAATCAATCAACTAACAATTATTAAATATTAAAAGAAAAACCTAAGTGGAAACCCAAGGCAATCAAATGTCAGGTATTTCTCAATGTGAATATTCATACTAACCAAAGTTACCATCTTCATTTTCATTTTAATTTCTTTACAAAATTTGGATTAATTTTTTCTTTTTTTACAATCTTGGAGCTTGAACTCAGGACCTGGGAGCTGTCCCAGAACCTCTTTGTGTTCAAGGCTAGTGCTTTACTACTTGAGCCATAGTACCACTTCAGGCTTTTTCTGAGTAGTTTATTGGAGATAGAGTCTCATAGGGCTTTCCTGCCTGGGTTGGCTTATGAACTGTGATCCTCAGATCTCAGTCTCCTAAGCAGCAAGGAATACAGGTGTCCAACTAGTAGAATGATCAAAAGGAACAAAATACTCTTGTGATTTTTAACATATACCATCTCGATGAGTCTATTCACTATCTTCAGTAACATGACTTTGATGAACTTATTGCATGTATATAGCAAAATAGACAAATGGCTAAATCCTGTTTCATGAGATTTCAAGTATGGAACAAATTTAGTGTATAATAAACATGAGAAAATACTAAATTTGTATTGAATGTTCTGTTCTTATAATACAATGAATGTTCTTATAATACAAATAACAAAGCTTTTTACCTGTATTAACTAGAGCACTGCTGTTGTAGAGTGTACCAAGGTGAGGTCCAGAAAGAGAGAGAAAAGTATGAAGTTTGCTGAGGTAATATTTAAACCTTGGCCTTGTAAGCACTGAACGAATTATTAAATTGCCCAATGAATGTCCAATAAAGCTTTAAGAGAAAAAGACATTTCTCCTATAGTATTAGTTTTTAAAACAAAAATCAAAACCTATACACTATACATAAAATATTTCTACTATTACAATCTAAATGTAGAAATAACAGAAAATGTTTACTTATAATTAGTAGCTGGGTAAAAGAAATACATTCTAAAAGTAGTAGGATAATGATTAGATTATACATGTCTCTTAAAAGAACACATATAAATCATGGTAAGTCATTTCAAATAAATTAACAGAATTGTACTTATAACGGGCAACTTTGGAAAAACTGCAACCTTAAAAGCAGACAATTTGATGAGAATAAAATTTAAAATTTTTAACTGACATAATTTTTATATCAATGGGATTCTGTGTGATCATTCAAAATGTGTACAATGTATAATGAGCAAATTACATTAATTAGTATTTCCATTTCTTCAAAACCCACTTCTATCTGTTGGGAACTTTTGGGCTCTTCTGGTTATTTTGTATTTATAAACAGTCAACATCTTCTGACTAGCAGTATTTACAAGGCACAGGCAACATATATGCAACTACTAAACCACTTTCTGTCTCCAAAGACTCGCTTATTCTAAACATTTCATAAATATGAAATCATAAAATATAGCCATTTTAAAGGTTTTTCTTTTTTCTTTAATCAGAGTTTTAGTTTCTTACGTGTAAATCAGGATAAGAAGAAATTCACAGAAATATAATATAAAAACTATTATTATATAAATTACCTTATTTTTGAGACTGTTAGACTATATATTTGAATATATTGTATTATTTCATCCAAAAGGCGATCTGTCATGCTATCAAAATCAGCAAAAGTATCATTCTAAACAAAATAAAAACAGACATATTACATACTAACAGACATATTACATATTAACAGGCATATTATATAAATATGTAGTCACATTGAGAAACTAAATGAACATAAGCTTGAGTCGTTGTTGCTGTTGTTTTGTTTTCTTTCTTTAAGACAGCCTTTCTCTATCTTTCTCTATGTAGTCCAGATTGAACCTAGAACTCGTGATTCTCCAGTCTCCAACTCCCAAGTTTTAATTTAGGTTTTGCCAATAATGGTTAAGCCCAACCTTTTTTTTCTTAGAAAAGTTAGTGAATGTAACACTCATTATATTAAAATGAGAAAATAGTTTATATAGAAACAGGTTCAATATCCTTAATACTTGATTTATTTAGTAATTTATTTGGTGAACTACTAGTATTAAAACATAAAGCTATCTTAATGGCTTAATGAGACAGAATATGAACGTGCGGAAATGTTTCACATATGAAGACAAGAACTCAAACCAACAGAAAAATATTCTTTGGATAAACATTTAATATTAAATTTCATAGAAATCAGAAAAATTATTATTGGTTTGGGGGGGGGAAGGGGGTTACTGGGTTTGAACCCAAAGCCATGCATTTACTTGGCTGGGGATCTACTACTTGAGCTATTCCTCCAGCCCTGCTTTGTTTGCTAGTTAACTGGAAACTCAGTCTCATGGACTTTTCCACCTGTATTGGCTTTAAATGATAATATTCTGGATCTTGACCTACTGAGTAGCTAGGATTATAGGTACTCACCTCATAGAAAGTATTTTGACCAGATAGTTTGATTGTATCATATTTAAATGTTACCTTATAATGTTAAATTCTTTGAAAAGAATATTTAAGCTATCTTGAGTACTTTCCTACCCCCTCCAAGACACCAAAACATAGTAATCTTGTATTAACTAATCTTCTATGTGTATTTTGCCTTATTAAACACTGTGCCTTATTATATTAAGGTTTGTTAAAATCCAGTTCCAGAAAGGTTAAAATCCAACTCCATATTTTGGAAAAATAACAGTATTTTGTTCTTAGTGAATAAGAATTTACTCTTTTAAAAATCTGGAAAAAAAAGAAAAAATAGAAAAAGTATTTCTACTACCACAGGCATACTGAAGCATATTTCTACCTAATACTTAGGTTGAAACAGATAGAAAAATGCTTGCTTCCAACAAAAAGACTGTCTTACTATACCTGATTTCTCTCAGACATAAGAAAATCAATTCTTCCTCCAGGCAGTCCAAGTTCAATGTAAGTTTTTACCAGTCGGAGATCTGCACTGTTACCTAGGGAGGAAAATGATGTTTAAAGACAAATATAACAACTAGATTTCTCAAGTCACCTCCTACACTAGATAGGGAAATGACTTTTTGGTTTCCTTTTCTCAGACAGGGCCAACAATTCACTCTCAGCAGGAAGAAGCTATAAAATGAACTATACAACTTGTGGATGAGGGGAACCAGGGGGGGAAAAAAAAACAAGGAGAAAACAAGGGAAGAGGAGACACTGTTCAGAAAGAAATGTCCTCATTATCTGGCTTATGTAACTAACATCTCTGTATATTATCTTTATAATTTTTTTAAAAGGCTATACAAGATGGACTGTGTCTTCCCTATACCCTAAGATTAAAAGGGATCAAAGTTTAAGGGAAGAGGAGGTTAGGGCAAAAAAGACAAGACAGGGAACATGAAATTTTTTAACAAACATCAAAAGAGACAGTTTCAAAAGTTAAAACTAGGAAGTAAACATAATGAGCAGATAAGCTCCCCTCCCTCCCATCTTGCCCTTTTGAAGGATTAAGTTACAAGATTAGGAGAAATAGGAGAGGCCACCTAAGTGTGCCTTCTCCAAAGACACCCAGGAAGGAGTGGGCCATCTAAATCTGCCTGCTTTGAAATGGTAAAAATTCGTAAATTGGTAAAGACAGAAAGAAAGTCAAAAGGAAGTCCTAAAGGTTACCTATGCTTGTGATGAGCTTCTCCCACCTGCCTCATTTAGAACATAGTCTAAGGATTAGGAGCTGAGTGTACTATTACCAGCCCGGAAACCATAAAAACCAAAGAAAAGAAGAAGAAAGAAGAAAGGAGAGAAAGAAAGAAGAAAGAAGGAGGAAAACAAAAAGGAAGGAGGAAGAAGGAGGAAGAAGGAAGAAGAAAGGAGGAAGAAAGAGGAAGAGGAAGGAAGGAAGGAAGGAAGGAAGGAAGGAAGGAAGGAAGGAAGGGAGGAAGGGAGGGGAGGAAGAGGAGGAGGAAGAAGAAGGAAGAGGAGGAAAGGAAGAGGAAGAGGAAGAGGAGGAGGAGCTATAAAAATTACAGATACAACCCGCCATTCTGAGTCTTTATCTCCTATTTCCTGTCTGGGGAACAGAAATATTTCTTGATCTTTTCCATTCTTCCCTACTTTAAACCTGCTAAATTAAAATAAATCCTCACTAAAATGTTAAAGAAAAAAATGAGTTAAACAAAACTTGCAAAATGTACCATCATACATTTTTCTTTTTTTGTCGGTCATGGGGCTTGAACTATGGGCTTAGGCTCTGTCCTTGCGCTCTTCAGCTCAAGGCGAGTGCTCTACCACTTGAGGCACAGTGCCACTTCCAGTTTTATAGTGGTTTATTGGAGATAAGAGTCTCATGGACTTTCCTGCCTGGGCTGGCTTTGAACCATGATCCTCCGATCTCAGCCTCTTGAGTAGCTAGGATTACAGGTGTGAGCCACTGGCGCCCGGCTACATTTTCTTTTTTTTTGGGGGGGGGTCCGGTCGTGGGGCCTGAACTCTGGGCCCAGGTGCTGCTGTCCCTCAGCTCTTCAGCTCAAGGCTAGCGCTCTACCACTTGAGCCACAGCACCACTTCCGGCTTTTTTTCTTTTTGCTTATGTGGTGCTGAGGAATCGAACCCACGGGCTCAGGCATGCAAGGCAAGCGCTCTACCACTGAGCCACCTTCCCAGCCCCCGGCTACATTTTTATAGTTTTAAAAATAAGCTTTTTTTGTGTAAAGAAAATATACCTTGAAAACTAATTTTCAAATTTTATGTCAAAACACAAACTGTGTGTTCCACAAGTTTGTTTCTTAAGAAGTTTTAGTTACACTGGTGCTTCCACCTATCTAGCTAATAGTATATTTATTCATTTACTAAACTGTAGCTATAAACAAATGACAGGCTTCTTCAACATCACCAACATAGATGCTGACCATCTAACAGTCCTAAAATGCATTGTGGATTTAGATTTAATAAAGGGTCTTTCCTTTGTGTGAGTACAGACTGAGAGAAATAAAAATGTATGTATAGATCTAAGGCTAGTTTATTTTGATGATTATTAACTCAAAAGACACCTATACCTATATTTATAATATGGATATAAATTATAAATATGAAAATTATCTTTAAAATTCACTTTCTTTTTGCTTACTATCAATAAACATGTGTTTATTATCAATTAATTTTTTAAAATTTTGCCCTTCTAATATTTGTCTTTTAGATATTTTTGTGATTCACATATTGACAGGGATCATTATTTTATTTCTGATTTTAAAAGAAACACCTCCAGTGCTTCACTATTAAGTTTTGCATGCCTTGGAAACTTATTGGCTTAAATCACACAAATGGATTGGAGACTAATTCTAGGTAAAATTTAATATTTGGTCCATAGCTGTCATAGTAGAAATGGACACTAAAGCTTATCAACAATACCTTATTTACTTGCTGATGTTCTACTGTATTTTATTTTTACTTTTCTTTATTGTAAAAGTAACGTATAGAAGGGTTACAGTTATTTAAGCAAGGAAACAAGTACAATTTTTGCCAAACATTGTTACCTCCTCCCTGGTTTTCTCCTGCTTTCCCTCCCACTTACTCCCCTTCCAGCAAGTTGTAACCTCATTTCCAACATAGTGTCATGTATCACTATGATACAGATGGTTCACCCTTTTGTGGTTCACCCTTTGTCCTTTGTCTCACCATTTCTGTGATTCTCTACCCATCCCCAAATCAGATAAACTTATATACAAGAAAAAGAGTACTGAAATCAAAAACAGTGACCACAGGGGGTAAAACAAGGAAAAAAGAAAGAAAAATAAGCTTGATGCCGGTGGCTCATGCCTGTAATCCTAGCTACTCAGGAGGCTGAGATCTGAGGATCTTGGTTCAAAGTCAGCCAGGGCAGGAAAGTCTGTGAGACTCTTATCTCTGATAAACCACTAGAAAACCGGAAGTGGCGCTGTTGTTCAACCAGTAGAGTGCTCCCCTTGAGCTGAAGAGCGTAGGGACAGCGCCCAGGCCCAGAGTTCAAGCACCATAACCAACCAAAACAAAAACAAAAACTGCATACAGTACACTAAAAACTAAACTAAAAAAAAACCCTGCTGTTTCCATTCCTTGTAGTTCATTTCAGTTAGCAATGTTTTATAAAGTCCTATGTACATAGCTAATGAGTTATTGTGATCCTTTGCTAGAAACTGAGATTACACCTCACCCCAGTTAGAAAGGCCATTATGAAGAAAACTAATAGCAACAGATGCTGGTGGGGTTGTGGCCAAAGGGAACACTACTACACCATTAATGGAAGTGTAAACTCTTTAAACCACTCTGGAAAGCAGTATGGAGGTTGTTCATAAGGCTAAGCATACCCTATAACACAGCAGTCCCACTCCCGTACATTTACCCAAATGATCACAAACAAGGCCACACTAAAGCTATCAGAATGACTATGTTTATTGCAGCATTATTTACCATAGCCAAGATATGGAATCAACCCAGATGCCCCTGAGTGGATGAATGGATCAAGAAAATATGGTGTATACACACAATGGAATTCTATGCTTCCATCAGAAAAAAATGACACTGCCCCATTCATAAGGAAATGGAAAGACTTGGAAAAAATTTTATTAAGTGAATTAAGCTAGACCCAAAGAACCAAAGGCTACATGATTTCTCCCATTTGTAGTTACTGATTTTTATTTTAAAATTTCTTTATAATTACTTACCTTTTATATTCTGGGAATTAAACTCTGCTGAAGCAACCTTAATATATTGATGTACTTACTAGTATCATTAAGTATATTTATGTCAGATTGGTCTACTATTTTGGGGGGGTCATTTAGTATGATAGTATTATGAAACCTGGTAATCACTAGGTTAGTAACTTTAAGGAATGAGCTGTATTCCATCATTTTCTTCTTCCGGTTTAATTTAAGCAACATAGGGATAGTCCATTAAAACCTGTAAAGAATCTTCAAGTCTTCTTGGTGAGATACTTATTCAACTTTATTATTTGGGGACAAGGAAGAAAGATGAGTATTTAAGTGCATTTTATTTTTTGAAGTATTTTTCAAGCAAAATCAATATTTGCTGAGAGTTCAATAACGAAGATCTGTGTTTAGTATCTCCCCCACACACATACAACACACTTTGGTACTTGTTCCTAGGGCTTAAATTCAGGGCTTGGGTTCTATCCCTGAAGTACACAAGGCTAGTGCTCTACCACTTGAGCCACAGCTCTACTTCCAGTTTTTTAGTGGTTAAGTGAAGATAAAAGCCTCATGAACTTTGCTGTTTCCAACTAGCTTCGAACTGTGATCCTTAGATCTCAGCCTCCTAAGTAGCTAGGATTACAGGAGTGAGCCACCAGTGCCTGGCTGTTTAGTATTTTTTAACCCATAAAATCTAGTTTTTTTTGTCACAGAATCACATTACAATGCAGTTTATAATATGTTTATGTCATATTATAATAAATACCCTCCCAGGGTAGACATATTTATCCTTTACTAATAGTTTCTGCACCTAGAAAAAAAACTGCTGAGTAACCAAAGAAGCTGTCATAATAGAATTTAAGGTACACCTTAATTTTCAACCTAATTCCTAGTAATATTCTGGCCCATGTGGTTTAAGAAGCAACCCACAAAAGAACTAGGAAGACAATCTGAAGGAGACAAAATAACTATTGCTGGAAAATGAACATCAGTTTCAAGGTAAATTTACTTCAAAATAAAATCTAGAATATTTAAAAGTCAAATTCTGAAGAAAACTAAGATCTACAAGGAAAAAAAGACAGGTTAAATCAATAAATGTTACATACCATCTAAACCATGCACACAGACAATGAGATGTACTCCATCTTCAGAACTATCCTCTTCTTCCATGCTAAAGTAAGGTACTGAGGATGCCAGCAGAGGGACATCACTGTACATGAACCCAGGAAGTTTAAGTTGTTTCAATTCTTCTTTTGCCTGAAGGAAGCTGAAAAATATTATAAAAGATATTTTAACAAAAGATCATATTGCTGTTTGGTTTTAGAACCAAAGAGACACTCACCTAACAATTTATAGAATTGTAGAAGAGGAAACCCAGCAACTGTATGTGTGTCTGTATGTGTGTATGTATGTGCGTGAGAGAAAGAGACAAAGAGACAGAGAGACAGAGAGAGTAAGAGAGAGAGAGAGAGAGAGAGAGAGAGAAGAGAAATTAGGGATTATAGTCAGGACCTCAAGTAGCATGTTAGACAAGTGCTCTACCAAAAGGGCTTTTGGGGTTTTGTTTCTCAGATCAGTCTCACTAACTTTATGTAGGTATCAAACTTGTAATCCTCCTACCTCTACCTCCCAATTAGGAATATTTAGTTGTAACAATCATAAACATATGTGGGCTCACCTTAATAATATACATCTGACTATTGAATTTTGATGATCCAGAGACCCTGAGATGTATCCAGTGGGGTGGTATAGTTAGCCTATTGTAATTGATAATTGTTATTGTGATGATCTCATTAGCTTTAGGCTCTAGAGACTTTATATGTAAATCAGAATATTTTCTTGTCGTTGTTGGTTGTGGGGCCTGAACTCTGGGCCTGGGCACTGTACCTTGGCTCTTCAGCTCAAGGCTAGTGCTCTACAACTTGAGCCACAGCACCATTTCCGGCTTTTTCTGCTTATGTGGTGCTGAGGAATCGAACCCAGGGCCTCATCATGCAAGGCAAGCGCTCTACCACTGAACCACTTTCCAAGCCCAAAATCAGAATAATTTATGAACTTTTAAAAATCTACTGTAAACAGGCCCAGACTTCTAAATGCAAATTTTGTAATATGGTCCGTGGAGAAGCAGTAAGATACACTGAGAATCAGTGCATGCAAGTAAATCTCTATCATCCCCAATTTTTACAGGTATTTCACTGGTTCATGAAATATCAATTCTGGAAATGACTGAAAACAGAAGCAATTAGGGTCCAATAGATATATGAAGTTTCTACCTACTTACTACTTATGTAATATTATCTCTATTTCTTAGCCGTACTTATGATACACAGCTTTTGTCTACAAGTTAATGGGAGAGAGAAGATACAGAAGAAAACAAAGTTTTAGCTCTATTCTGTTTTACCATAAAATGACCATGGAAAATTTGTATCAGGAATGTCTAGACTACAGAAAAGACCATTTGGAAACAGTGGGTATGTCTATATTGTGTCCCATATCCATTTATGATAATCAAAGGAGAACTTGATATAGAGAAAACATTAGTTATGATGTTATATAAATACTTAATAGAGTATACTATTGAGCTCCATTACTTACGCTTGTATTTGAGGTTTTGATGAATTTTCATACCACGAAATTGAAGATGTGAAGTTGTAAGGAATGCTGCATGGCTGCTTTGTAATGGCATCAAATTTACTTTTAGAAGAATATTTAAGACTACAAGGAGACTCTCGTGGTACAGATGGAAAAGACAAACACCCAGAAGTACAAACAGTAGGAATATTCATCCCATCCCTTGGATAATCACTATTTGCTTTTTCAGATTTTCCAAATCCTTCTTCTGCTTCAGCATCTCTGCCTGTATAGCGAGCACTTCCTGTTCCATCTAAATTTGGATAATGTGTTTCTTCATAATACCCATTTTGAACCAGTTCTTGATCCTGTTCTTCCTCCTCATCCTCTTTGCCCTGTTCCTGCTGAGGATTACTATTTCCATTTTCACAAGTTTCCTTCCAAGAGCTATCAGAATTGCAGATGGTAACAGCACGCGCATCAGAAATACATGTACTGCTCTGAGAACCAAAATAATTTTCTACAAGCCCTTGCTTTACTACATCAGCACTGGCTGAAAAAGGCTCACTCACACTCATATGAGTTTCACTTTCAACAGCTGGGGCTTCTGAATAAATTTGTTTGAGATCTAATAGATCGTTACTTTTTGTTTCCACAGTTCTACCATCACTAACCTCTCCACTAGTAGAAATGGAACCTGACACAACACAAGCAGTACCCAATGAAATCAGCTTTGTATTTAATGCAATTGCTGTTCCTGAAAAGTTACTAGGCTTATCAGAACTCTGGGAGTCTTTATAAATAGCATCCACATTAGGTTTGGAGTTGCAACTACTTTTCACACCACTGGAACTATCTTTATCTGAAAAGACAAGTTGGAAAGGGTCTTTAGTACTTGCATTTGAGGAATGTATTGTTGAAGTTTCACTGTCCAAATGCCCTGAAAATACAACACATTGTTGTTGCAAAATAATACTTGACTTTTGAGTATCACATTTTTGTATATCAATTGTTCCTAGACTTAGTACAGTTTTGCTATCTAAGAGATGACATTCAGATACAACAGATTTCTTAGAATTTTCATCAGGTGACAATTCATCATCAGAAGGTAGAGAGTTTATAGATGTCAACGATGACTGTATCTCGCTTAAAGCACTTGTACTCTCAGTGCAATGACTTCCTAATGAAAATTTTACGTTATAATCAGGTTTCACCAAAAGCTGAGGAAATAATCTTTCACTGAAAGGACCTTGACCTTGTGCAGTTTCAAAGACTATCTCAGGGTTTGGATGGGTTGCAAAAGAACTTGGTTCACTTTCAACACCTGAATCTGAAAATCTAGAAGAGGCATATGTGGCATTCATATCTGGTAACTTAATTGTATCTCCACTTACTACAACATGATATTCTTTTGTAGAAGAAGCAGGTGGATTATTTCTTAATTTAGCTAATGATTCTCCAACAGAATGGTACTTTGCTTCCTGCAAAGCTTCCTTTTCAACTGTTACTTCTATATACTTGGATTTACCATTAGATTCTAAAGACTCAAAGTTGGGCAGTAAATTATCCACAAATAGTTCATCTTGTTGAAGCTCTGTCCAAGGTCCTATTTTAACAGTTATTTTCTCCCCACTGAAAGGATCTTTATTACTGGGGTTCACTTCAAGAGTTCTAACTTCTGAAGGTGGGGCTGTTTGATGACCATGGCATTCATCTGATGAGCTTCTGGATGCCAGGTTTTGTTCCGTGGGTGTAGTTTCACTATCATCCTGGCAGATAACAAGTTTACCTGAAATGGACAAATTTGCACAAAGATTTAGGCTGCCAGAGTTCAAAGGATTGAATGGGTCTGCTTGCATATTTTCAGTATCTGGAGACTTTTGTTCAGTTCTCTCTGTATTAGTTGGCAAATAACTAGCTTCTTTTTTGCTTGTCTGTCTGGCGTAGGTCTTTGGGTCAAAATTATATCCACATATTGTGGGATCCAGACCTTCCTTCTGACTATGTGAACGGTTGCCTTCATAGCACTTAGTTAGATCATTTGATGGTGTATTTTTCAAACATTTGTAGCCTACCAAAACCACAGAATCTTTAGAGTTCTGTTTTATTAATTTTTTTGTATTTTCTGGTCTCATAGTTTTTATGAGCTTAGTGACCTTAACCTTGGATTTATTTGATTCTTCATTCTTTGTTTTTAGAGATTTTGTTAGCTGTTTTTCGCCTTCTGTATACCAAACACTGGAGGCACCAGCAGTTCTGACCTTCAACTCTGGGCTAGAAAGTCCTGCTACAGAGCTTTCTTCAGTCTCATGTTTATCCATTTTACTGGACTCTGATCTCTGAAGATTCTGGATTCCCATCCAGGGTGCATCTAAGTCTTTTATCCAAAGAAAGAAAGATTCATGTTTACAACAAGGATGAGAACTCATATGATTAAAACTAGTTTGTCTAACTATAACTTTCTAAAGTATCCTCAAAAATACATAAAACTGGAGGGATAATTTGTTTCATTGTAGGGAATGGTTTTATGTATATTTGAAAGAATATATTGAAAATGATATATGTGGCTTATATATTTTAGTTAGGTTATACTTACCTTCAATAACTGAATCTAAATACCTATCTTCAAAGATTATAGGTAATGAATTGAGATCTCCATCTAATTCACTACATTCAATAGGTAGGGGTGGAAGAGAACTGCAGAAGGAAGTGGTTTTGATAGCGGTGCACATCTGTAGATGACTCTGAGCACTGAAAAATATTTCTTAAGTCAGACTGTAATAAAAAAATCATACCCAACTCCACTTTACAATCTACCCTGTTCTCTTCCCCCACCATTCCTATTCCTTTATCTTAAAATATAACCCCCTTATGAAAGAGCTTCTTGGACAGAGATAAGACCAAGCTAAATGAAAATTATGGTTTGTTGACAATAAGCTGACTTATCAATTTATGGTCTGTTACACATTATTTCTATTCTTCTATAAGTTCATTTGTTATTTCAAGGTATTTATGATTATTGACTGTGAGCTTCACAATTGACTGTGAGCTTGACTGTGAATACCATGTACCAGAATCTTGATGCCTACTGATTATTTGTTGAGAACACTAGGAAAAGGTGGGCTCCATTGTGGTTGCTTTACTTAACACAAATAAAATAGCTATTTTTACAACAGGCATATGACTAACACAAAATGAATATTGTTGGGTTTTTTTGACATGATACTTTCTTATGGGAAATTTCAAACAAATAAAAACAAAATGCAATACAAAATTTCAGGGACCCATCACCCAGGATACAAACACTTACCATTCTTATTTATGTGTATCTTAATATTTACTACCAATCTACACATTCTGTCATTGTTTATGGTGCTTTCAGGAAGTACAGCTTATTAGAACTAAAATATATAATCCTTAGCTGTATGATTTTGACAAATAAATACACAAAACAGTTCTATCCATTCAAGAGTTCCCTTATGTCTTGTCTTTCTCAATTTCCTAGCACAAGGCAACTGGAAAAGGACAACTGTTTTGATTTTTTTTTCACCATAGTTTTGCTTCTTCCATATCTTCATATATACAAACACTATACAGTATTCATTTTTTTAGGTCTGCCTTCTTTTACTCAGTATAATGTCCTCAAAATATTTCTTAAAGCCAAAGAAAATCATACATAAATATGCTCACGATGAAAAGAGAGGATATTTTTCCTGGACATTGTAACTATAAATCAGTCATATAATAGAAGGAAATGTCAGTCAGGCTACTTATGGAAATCTGTAATAAAAATGATGCATGTAAGAGATTATGACCTGTGAAAATATAGAACAAAATGGCCAAATGAAAAGCTGGGATAAGAACTGAATGGGATAATTGAGGTTATAGTAAATCTGATTTAAGGGGAGACAGGGAAAATACATTGTATTATTATGTAAAGTATGGGGCTTTTGTGAAGTAATTCACAAGATTAAACCCAAAATAATTCATGAACAGATTTCAAAATTTCTTTTTTTTTAAAATTCTGTGTATTCAGTCCTTAATAAATTCTGGTATACATCTATGCAAAAAGAAATGTCATCTTAATTGTGGATTTATGCTACTCACTGAAGTTCCTGGAATGCAATCGCAGCTTCTCTAGGATGTTCAAAGCAAAAGAAAGCCTCAGAAAATCTGCGAACCTAAAAATTCCCAAAGGGCATTATTAATAACATGGAACATTCAAAGTCAATCTGGCTTATAATAGGGAAAGAAGCATATATATATATATATATATATATATATATGTATATGCACACACACACACACACAAAGAAGCACATATATGCTTCTTTTTCTTTTTGTTGCTGGTCCTGGGGCTTGGTCCACAAAAAGACTACTACTTGGCTTTTGGTGGTTAAATGGAGAGAAGAGTCTCACAAACTTTCTTCTTGAGCTGTCTTTGAACCATAACCTTAACACCTCAGCCTCCTAAGTAGCTAGGATTACAAGCACTCAGAGACAAGAAATATTGACAGAAGAATATTCAGAGCATCTTCACTCAGAAAAACCAAATAAAGAAAAACAAATCATCAACAGACAAATAAATTTTGAAATACCCTACAATAGAATACTACTCAGAAATAAAAATAAATGACTGGTATACAAAAGCAACATAAACTTCAAAAAATCATAGAGTAAAAATAAGTTTTATTTATATAGGTTTTTAAAAATAGATACAATTAAACTATGGTCATAGAAATCAATATAGTGATTGCTTATGGAGTGAGGAAACTGTACAAAGTCATTCTCTAAAGTAACAGAAATTCCTATATAGTGGTTGGCTACCAAAACTTTTCAATGACAATTAGACTCTTATATCAGTTAGCAAAATTTAGATTTAATAAATACAGTTTCTGTCCTAAATCTGAGCACCATCAATATTCTAAAAGTCTAAAATATATATTAAAATCAGTCATGAGAGTATACTGTAACAGAAATATACAAAATAAATTCAGGTTTAAAAGATTATTTTTTTCTCCCATTGCAAGGCAAATGTATTAATAGTAGTTTTAAGCACAATAATATCTCCAAATGAATAAGGGTTAAGTCATATCCTTTACAAATTTAACCATAAAAATAACTGCTGAATGTATCTGTACCTTTACTGGATCCTTTTTATTGGGAGGGAGGGAATAAATTTTAGTGTTTGCTGCCTATCCTGCTATCCTATGCATTACAGGACACTATCAAAAAAGTGAAAAGAAAGCCAGATTCCAATGGCTAACACTTGTGTTCCTAGCTACTCAGGAAGCTGAGATCTGAGGATAGTGATTTGAAGCAAGCCCAAGGCAGAAAGTCTATGAGACTCTATAATCTGCAGTTAACCACTCAAAAGCCAGAAGTGAAGCTGTAGCTCAAGTGTTAGAGCACCAAGTTTGATCAAAAATGCCAAGGGACAGCAAGCAGGCCCTGAGTTCAAGCCCATTACCAGCACATAACACAAATAAGTTAATAAGTAAAAAGTTAAAAACAATCTACAGAAGAAAAAGTATTTGTAAGTCATACAAACAATAAGGACTTAATTTCCAGAATATATAAAGAAGTTCTAAAACTCAATGACTAAGAGACAAAGAACAGAATTATATAAGAAAACCTGAATATAGTTACAGAATGACTTGAATATATAACATACATTTCTCTAAAGAAAAGATACAAATATCTAATAAGCACTTAAAGGGTATCCAAAGTCATTAGTCACTGGTGGAAATGCAAACTAAAACCATAATGTAATACAATCTCCCACTTGTTAGATTGACCATTAAAAAAATGAAGAAAATAACAAGTTTTGGCAAGGATGTGGAGAAATCAGAAGACCCTTTTCCATTGCCTTTGAAAATGTAAAATGTAGAAAAGTTTGGAGGTTCCTCATGAAGTTAAGCAGTTATATACCCCAGTAATTCAATTCCTAGGTATATAACCCAAATAAATGAAAAAGGTATGTAAGCAAACAGTTTCAGATAGAGCTGTATAGTACCACTTTAAGCATGGAGACAAACCAAATATTTTTTTTAAGGTTTCTTTCTTTAAGAAAGTCTTCTTTCTATAAAACTTTAGGCTGAGGGCTCAAAAGATAGAGCATTTGTCTAACATGAACAAGTTCAAGCCCTAGTATTACAAAACAAACAACAACAACAACAAAAAAAAACAAATCTCACTGGTAGAGTGCTTGCCTTGCATGCATGAGGCGCTGGGTTCAATTCCTCAGCACCACATAAGCAGAAAAAGCTGGAAGTGGCACTGTGGCTCAAGTGGTAGAGTTCTAGCCTTGAGCTGAAGAGCTGAGGGA